AGACATTTATGACACAAAATGCCTAAAAAAACGTTCGGTATTTTAAGAGAAATGGTTAGCAGTTATTAAAAGAATATGCCATTTCTTGGTAATGGTCTGAATCTAAAACATGCTGGTCCTGTTAAAGTAAAAAAAAAAGAGCTCAGGTGGTAGACTGAATAGCTCCAGGGCAACAGGGGATTATCCTGCAGGGTGCTAACTCCGCCCTCCAGCCCCCCCGCTTCCTCCCAACAGGGACCAATGGCCAATGTAACTTCCTGCTAGCCCATAAACAAACAATGCAGTCAACTGAAGTCAGGCTGAAAATCCTCCAGTGCCACTTACAGAGGTCAAGAGGTATACACCAGTCATAATTTTTACTTAGTGACTGTGACAGTTATATGGCTGCATAGTTTGGCTCTCCTGCAGAAGGAACAGGCATTTTTACTACTCAATCCTTTTTTTCTCCATTTCTGCGTATCCCCGAGGACAGGTTTGTGTAAAAGGAATAAAAACAAAAGAAGAGAATGAAAAAAGTAATCTCATGGGAAATGATGAGTACAATGTATGTGTTAAAGTATAAAAAACGAAAGCCTGTTTGTGCAATGTGTTCTTGTTATTCTGCCTATTGCAATGAGGCATGTCGAGAGACAAATATGTTAAAGCATGTGTGGGTTTATCATGGCTCGCCATCAAGTAGTTTGGGGCGGGCCTCCCTTCCCTTCCCTTCCCCCTGAAAAACCCCAACAGCAACAACAAAGCTTTACGTGTTGATCTGGCTCAATAACAGCTACAACAAAAGGATAACCCTAACGTCAAAAACATATAACTTACACAATTTGATCATTTTCCCATCAGAGAAAAAAGGCACAGGCAATTACAAATGATCCGTTTAGCATTACCCTGACGTCACACCCTCTCTCTAAATACACATCCATACACCCTTATTTGAACAATACTCGCATTCATACAATCACAAGCACAGGAATCTGCCTGTCTACAGTTAAGCAAAACAAAACCCAACATTACCCGCACTACTAAAAGGCCTGTTTCAACACTTGTGTCATTCCTCAAAAAAAAATGCAGGGAAACCACCGCTCTCTAGGGCTGTCAGACATGTCTTCATTTGGGCACACTGCATACACAGAGATCTCTGATTAGTCCAGCCAGCGCTGTGGGACACACAGACCTCAGCTTCAAAGGGCGAGAGGAAATGCTTTGCCCTTCCTGTCACTCCCAGTCGGAACCAAATGACGTAGTCAAGATGTGATGAGATTACATCCAAATAAAATAAAAATAGTATGAGATAAGGCACATAACAATCAAGGACACAAATGCACATATATACACACAAACACCCTAATCCAGTTCAGGATACACAGGGAGGTCTGACCTAAAAGCTTGGAGCAGATTCACAATATTTACAGCATTCCCATGTCCTACAAGGACACTCAACTTATTTAATCTATTTCCTAAGAGATGTTCTGACTGCGCTCACAGACGACAGCTCTTTTAAACTGCGTTTTGTTTCCTGTATGCCAGACACCTTGATGTCCCTTGTTCTATCAATGTTTAACCATACTGTATTTTATTTTCTCTTCCTTTTCGGCTTCACGGTGACTTACTGTAAAGGTTTTACTAACAGCATGGGCAGAGGACACACAGCAGTGCCTTTACATTCCACTCTCTGAGTCTCTTTTGTCACGGAAACAGAAGAAAAAAAGTATGAGACATAAAGAAAGAAAATCCATTGTCTTGCATATACGCTGATGCCTCTTGCAGGCTTATAACTCACAACGTTTAAAGATGAAGATGATGTTAAAATATAACAGGTTCATTCTCTTATTTGCTGTATAACATAACATGGAATAGGTTTTGAAAAATCCTATGAACTTCTGACAGGCTTTATCCACTGGAAGCTTCATTTGTGTCAGCCTTTGTGTGCGTGAGTGTGTACTGTCTGAGTGTGTACTGTGTGTGTGTGTGTGTGTGTGTGTGTGTGTGTGTGTGTGTGTGTGTGTGTGTGTGTGTGTGTGTGTGTGTGTGTGTGTGTGTGTGTGTGTGTGTGTGAGAATCAGAAAGAACTGTGGGTGCAGTGTATATTGCACAGTCTTGAATGAAGACCTGCCCTTACTTGACTCCTTAATCTTCAGTTTCCTGCCCTCCCCCTCGTATCTCAGAATAAAAACGTCACGCCACTTGAATCCTCCCCTGTTTTGCTTCTGCCCTCCCCTCCCTGTATCACGCTACAACAGCTTCATCCCGGCTTGCCACAGCTCCCTGTCCCATAGCCCCTCAACTCCTGCCGTTTCCACTGGGGCGATGCACAAAAACTGCACTTGGCTTGATCCCAAACACTGGGGCCCACATACCTCCCAATCTCTAGATTAAATAGCACCAGTCTCTGAAGTCCTTCCAGGGGCTAATGGCTTTTGTTGCTGGGAATAATCCACACATCCTCTCCCACATCCTGGGGGTCCGCTGGCCTGTCGTGAACCCCTCCTTTACCCTCTTCATCTCTCTCTCATCTCCATCTCAATCTACGCTTCCATTTTGGTTGACCTCCCGCTTCCTTATAGCACAACCCGGTGATTAAGTGGGGAGGCATGAGGGACCTAACCACCCGGACTGAGGGGAGGAAGCAATGATTTGACATTGAGTTGGGAACCACGCAGAGTTTTATAGGGAGTCAGTGCAGGTGCGGTCTAATGAAGGCCGTAAATCTCTTCACTGTCATCTGCAGCTAACTGCAGTGTAAACAGCCAGGGCGAGAGGGCTGAGTGCCTCTGAGCTATCCTCATAAAGGAAAGAAAACATCCGTCAGGCAACAACCGCAGCAGAACTGTTAACACTTGATGTCTGTTCAAAACAAATACACCGGGAGACAGATTTTCACAAGACGAGAAGAAGATTTTCCATGGATCAAAGAGCACTCTGTAATGTAGTCAAAATAAGTATGCAAAGTTATGAAGTAGGTCCAGAAAGCGACCCTCCTGTCATCTTCTGTTCTTCAAAATATTTCTTATTTAGACTACACATGGCTATAACGTCAGATATTCACACTGAATACATATGCAGGTATGAGGTCATATCCTGGCTGAGACACTTTTCTCCAGGGAGGCCCCAGGGGGAGAGGTGAGAGGCAGACAGAGAGAAAAGGAGACTAGGTTGCAGGCCGCAGACACTGGGACAACATTCATTGACCACCTTAATCATTCTATTTTATCAACACAATTAGAAAAAAGGCTGTCCATTGATGGTTATTTTACTTCAATTTCCAACTTTAACTTCAATGATAAGGCTACCAGCTGGCTTTCAGTCATATCTACAGGCATACCATACTGTATGCCAGATGAAAGTACTATATTGCAGAGAATATATAACTCTAGATTTCCAGAGAAACTGTCGCTATTGTAAAAGGCTGAAGGCCATACTGAAAAGTGATTGACTGAACAAAGAAGTGGAGAGGACAGAGAATGACAGCAAACACAGGGGGCTTGAGGATCTAGGGATATTATTAGGGCAAAGAGAGGAACACAAAGTGAACAAATGATAAGAGACCTAAAGGGTGGAAAATAAGTGACAAAAGTAAGACACTATTGATTTTCAGGATAGAAAGATAACAGAAAACAGGAGTATGGTAATAAAAGTTGGATGGAGAAAATGAGTAAAGGGCAGAGGAGCTATATAAGGAACAAATTAAATACATAATGCTGAATTATTTATAGTGCAAAGGACATTAAATCTGTGCGCCATACCACATGCCCCAAGACCTCCATTACAACAGCACAAACATACATATATAAATACACATAGGTCTAGTGAGAAGCAGAGAGCCTGCAGAATATATGAAATCTGAAAGCTGATAAAAAGAAGATGTTAACACAGCAAAATATTGACTGGCTCACAGAGTCAATGAAACTCAACCCAGAGAAGAGGTCAGCTAGCTCTCTCAACAAGAGGATCATGGCTCAGGGGTTAGGTTGTGGATAAGGGGTCTTTAAAGGTACGAGAAAATAGTTCAAAGAAGGAAGAACCATGGTATTTTTGAAGGAAGGGGTCCAGAAAGGATAGTGTACAGGAAACTTGACGGAGAGTTTCAATGATATGGCTAAAATCTTAAAAAATGTGAGCAAGTTAAGAGATGTGGTGGAAATGTGTTAAAGGGAGAGAGCTGTTTGGAATGGAAAAAGGGATGAAGGGAAGAAAGAGGAGGTGAGTTTTGGAACAGGATATATAAAGCGAGCATTAGCGTTTTTGGAAATGAATGAAAGAAGTGGGACAGAGTATAAAAACAAAAGAAAAGGAGAGGGTTAATGATGGTAAAGTGTAAGACGACTGGGAAATGGTATGGGGAAATGTTTTAGACGCCTGGTGAAGAGGCTGAAGACTCCTTAGTCTGACAACTTCTATGTGTTTACTTTTTGTCTGGTTTTTATCTAGTACTTGATGAGTATTTTAATGTTAAAAATGTTCAATAGTGTCAACATTTTGTCACACACTCACAATGTTAACATCATTTTATAAGCACCAGAGACATGCTTATACGAATTCATGCTAGACATCTAGGCCAGTGTTAAAAGCTAATGTGTTGGCGAAAAAAGAGATGACAAGTGACTGGAGAGAGTTGAGAGGGAGTTAGACTCCTGAAGTTAGTAAAACATTCCAATGTGGAAGATCTCCATGCAAAAGATTGAGACAGAGTGAGAGGGTTTGGAAATGTGAAGAATGTCATTAATCATGCATCCCAGAAACCTTTTCCTTTAAAAACCAAACCAAAAGCAGCAGGATAACGTTAAAAGGAACAACAAACTTCTTCTCTGTTTCTATACATTTGTAAATGATTGTCTATGTCGTTAATTGTGTGCACTTATTACTCCAAAAAAGCTCTTAGTTATTTACTTTATGGGCCTGTTCAACTAGATATCTATGTCTTCCAAACTTTCTTAATGCTTTGATCTTTCATCAATTTGCCTAATTAACACTATTCACCATTCTACCAAAGGCCTTGGTGTCATTACCTTGCCATGCCCAGACTGGAGAAGCCTGCTGGGACGATGAGGACATCAAGGCGGGGAAAAGGATGGACCCCCAGAATGGTGTGAGCTGCAGCCAAACATCGAGGCAACAGCTTAAGGACTCCCACCTGCAAAAGGAAGGCAACAAGTTTCAGAAACAAAACAACTGAAGACTATAAAGTTGCACATTTTATTTGAAGCAGATACATGTTGATACATATGGGAAGAATATACAATAGTTGTGAGTGCATGTATTGGCTGTTGCACATAATGTACTGTCTATTATGATTCCATGTGTTAAAGGTCAGAAGATATCAAAAATATCAAAAATATTTAAAAGAACATGTTTGGTCAAAAATCTAAGAGGCATCATCCACTTAGAAGTGACAAACAAGAAAACACTATTGACCTTATATTTATAAAATTGATTCCAGTAGGAGATTCCCATTTAGAGAATGAGGAATGTTTTAAGTGGTGCTCACAGGAACACAGCGTCGTACAGCAGCAGTTGAAAACCGCTAACATAATGACACAAACATTAACTGACTAACTGTCTCTTCTTATCACATGAAATATAATTATCTCTCCACCTGGGCCTTCTGCAGCAAGCTGACGGGGCCAAACACACGGTGCGGGATCACCCGCTGGGACCTAGCCGACTCCTCAGTGAATCGGCAAGGGTAGTCGTCATGGGAACAAGAGATGCTGTCATCCACTATGCCTGAATAATCAGTTACAGAGTGCGTCGCATCCTCAAGGGAAGAGTAACAGAGTGCAGAGTCTGAGTGGGTGGTCTGGTCTCCGCTGTAGCAGATTAAACAGGAAATAAAAGTTAAATCCAACGTTATGACTAAAGATTTGATGAATACTCTTATTATAAAAACAAAATACAGTTCTTGAGTTGGTTAACCCAAAATGGCACAGTTTGTCCCGTCTCTCTATACTTAGCATGGAAATATGGAATACATAAGTCACAGGAGGAAACCACAGTGATCCAAGAATATCTAGGTGCCGACATGCAATCTCATTCACTCTGAATCCAATCCATCACCAACTCCATCCTCTGCAACAGAACCCTTCCAAAGGATTTGAGCGACATCCAAGTTTCCTTCCAGCCACTCACTGAAAATAAAGGCCTTCCTTGTAGCAGGAGATTTGTGCTGCCGGCAGCAGGCTACAGCTGGGCTGCTGCTGGAGGAAAACCATGAGGGGAGGAGGAGGATTACTGGAAACCACTGGCAGATCTGCCAACCTGCTGCCCGGTGGAGAGGGAGACCCCAGCCCCACCCTGCCCTGCCCACAGCAAGCCAGCCCTCACTATGCCCCAGCCTGTACTCTAAATCCTGTACCTCCATAAAATGTTAGCTTTACTTATTTTGGTCTCCAAAATTAATCTCTGCTGGGCACTGAACACTTTAGTGTACTTGTCATAAAAAGCATATTGAGGGGTGAACCCTATCCATCACCCTAACTTCACCTGCACCATTTAAAGTATGGCAAGAGGAAAGTTTTACCATGGAATCTCGAAGGGCCAGACCTGGGTTAATAACAGTTGGAAGAGAAGGAAATATTACAAGAAGAATTGAACACAGGAAAAACAATAAAATACCTGCCAGTCTTGAGTGGAGAGCCCTTTACTACTTCACTGATGGAGCTCCCATGGCCAGACATTTGGTCAGCCTGGACCCTTTCCCCGGGTCTAGCCCCGAGTTTGGCAGTCTTACTACAATCCGTCTTCAGCCCTCTTTCCACTGCTGGAGCAATTTCTGCTGGGACTTGGTGCCAGTGGCCCACTGCCAAGGTGAAGGTGGAGGCGGGCATGGGCATAGTGACATAGTAATTCCATATTAACAAGCCTGAAGAGAGCAGACGGGAAAGAGAAAAAGTATAAAAATGTCAATGCTAGGGAAATGGAGGGGATAAAAGGCAGAAAGAAAGCATGGAGAAATTAAGGAATTGTTTGGACAGAAGGTGCCATTTTGTTTCACTTCACTATTTAGTCTGACGTTGTTTTCATATAACATATTTGTATTTAGCCCTTACCAATCCAGATCCATGCCAACCTTTCAAATGACTGATCTATGGTAGCAGTCACTAGAGGCAGTAAATGTCTTAAATGTCAGTTACAGAAATACTTTTTCTGTTTTTAAATATGTTCTGTTCTGTCAAATGACAATAACCTGTAATGCTGCATTGATTTTATCAAAATGTTTTTTTTTTATATAAAAAACTATGACTGGTTTTTCTAGCTCTGACCCAGGTAGGTGACTTGTCATTGTGCACAACACAAGTTCAAAAATGAAAAGTAAATTCAAGATAAGAAATATTTTTTAAAAGTGGAAAGCCTCCGAGGCAAATTTGTTATTTTAGGCCATTAAAATAAAATCGACCTGATTTCTACAGGTTGTCAAAAAAGTAAAATAAGCTTACTTGTGTCCCCGTCCCCAACAGGTATAGCCTCCTCCTCCCCACTCATCAGAACCACACACTCACTGGGGGCCCGCACTGTTGCCTGCCATGTTGACATGGCAACAGGCGGCTCCTGGCAGGGGAAGAGGGCTCGGTTGTTGATGGGAGAGCCGGCGGTGTAAACACACACCCTGGAAGGGTAAACAATGGTAAACTGTAAACAACCCTCGTTTCAATGCTCAAAGGATACACCAAACACACCAACATACACATAAAGCATCCAGACACAAAAAATGAAATACAATAGCTTGAAGTATGTTTTAGTGAATTAATGAATTAGTATTATTCTATTCTAACATGGCAAGCTCAAAACGTTACACTGTAATTCCAATAGCATCTGCCACCAGTTCTTTAGGAAGAAGTGTTATCATACTACTAATAAGGCTGGGCTATATGACAATACATATCTTTGAAATTATACAATGTTTTATATCGTATACATTTATCTATGTAATTTCTATATTGATGTACTCTAGCCCTAAATGTATGATTTTCTTCTAAATAATTTAACTTTAAACTATTATGTTCACGTCGCAAATAAGTTGTTAAAATTATAAAATACTCAGTTACTTTTATTTGTCACGTATTTAATTCACACAGGAGTATACAAAAAAGGCTTTACCATAGTTTTTTATATACTATTTATTTGATTGACGTGAAAAGTTCTATATCCTGATATAAATTGATAATGAGATATAAGTACGAAAAACAACCTGTTGTCCTGGTCCTTCGTCCACCTCACGGAGCCTCCTGTTGGTCTTGTCTCATAGCAAATCCTGAGAGCACGAGGAAACCCCTGAGCTGAGGCGACCCCCTTCTTCCTCACCTGCAGACTCCATTGGTCTCGATAGAATTGCAGTGAGCTGCCGTGCTGAGCACCAGGCGCCTGGCTGCATAGAGAAAAGAGCTGGTGCTTCTGCCTCCATTGGTCAGAGGGCATAGAGATAAGGTTCTGAATAAAGGCTGTTTGCCGGTTGACTAATCTAACACCTGAGCTCTCAGATGCAAACACAGAGGAGATGTCCACCTCTTCCACCTTTGACACATGGAGGTCACAGCAGTCCATCACTAAGGTGAAATCATCGTCACTGGTTGTTTCCCACAAATGTGAAGACTGAATAATTTCTGTTTCAGGTGGAGTCTGTGCACGTACGCCAGACAGAGCCTGACATTCAGCTCCATCTCTTTCTCCAGCACCAAGTATCTTCTCCATCTTTGTCATAGCCTTCCCAATTCCTTCTGTACCATCCTCCACTGTGTCCTCATTGTGAGATCTGCACACATATACATCGTGACTCCTTCCAGCTTCTATAATGCAAGATCCAGGTCCAATGCCATCCTCAGTCTTAGACCCCGATCCAGAGGAAGGCTCCAAGAACAGAACGACACTACCACTGATGACATTCCTGTCAAAATGAAGCGTCAGGTCCAGCACATAATGCCTGACAAGTATGTGGTTAGTATTGGCTCGGAGTGGAAGGTCATCCATTTCGGGGTTTAGGTTCTTGTCTGGCTGCATGTCTCACAAATGGTGTCAAAGCTGGGCTGCCAGATCTAAGATGCAAAAATAAAGTTTTACTTATTTCAGTTTTTGTTTCCAAGTTCCAAACTTTTGAATTGATCTTAGGGTAAATGACAGTGTGCGTGTTTATGGAATTTTCGAACAAACCATTAGTTAATATACTATAGCTTCATGTGGTCTGTGTTTACTTACATTTGTCAATTAAGTGTTCTGCCAGGTTACAGTGGTAAGCCAAATATGTCAGTGTATATATGCTCAAATCAAACTTAAATGCCAAACTCCATTTCACAAATTCCACAAATGATGCCAAACAGGAAAATAGTTTTGGATTCCTGTTTTGATCTGTGTTAATTATGCAGTATAAGTAAAACACCTTAGCCCAGCACCAGGAACAGCAGCCTACATTTAAGCTCTCCAGCTGAATATCAGAGTTTTTGCTGTCATAATACTTCCATTTAGCTTGCTTGGGGCAAGAAGCAGGCTTGGCAAGACAGAGGTGCAATTACCATTTGCAGCAGGAAATCCTCAGAGGTTATTCAGTGCAGGAGTAGATTTATAAAATTATGAGCAAATACACACAAAAAGGGGGGTTGGCTAGACACATCTGCCAAAGAAACAAAGAACAAACAACAAAGAAACGGTAGTAGTAGTGGATTAAAGAAAGATAGATACAGGTTATTGCCTGCATGCATCTTTGTTTGTAATTGCAGCGAAACCTGGAATCATTCAACTTGTCTGTGGAGGTTCAGTGGTCTTGTCAGTCACAAGCTTAAGTAGTCCCATGCATGTGTGTGAGAGGAGGAGGAACTGACAGTGCAGTAACACGTTGTGACTCGTAAAAAACGGCACAGAGAAATCGAGTTTTCAGGAATTAATGTTTGAGTTTCGAATTTAAGTTGGCCTGAAGATGACTGAATGTATGACACGCGAGAGTTTGGGCTAACTTTGTATTACAAGTGTGGTTCCTGTAACTCAAACTCAACGTCCTAAACTACAACGGGAGCGCCGTCATTAACCAGCAGCATCATGGCAGCTATCGGAGATTCAAAGAAAATGTATTAAAAAAAGAAACTGTTGACATACCGATGATCATCACGAGTACTCGCTTGTTGTGAATGAAATGTACAACAAGCCTGTATCCGTCATGTCAACGTCGCTCAGTGATTGCGTCATACTGACGCGACTGCAAACTATTGTAGTTTCCATGGTAGTTTCCCCCACAGATACTTCCCGCTTTTTAAACTGGCGTTTAGTTTGTCCAATATTTCTACTTCAATAGATATATTTATATGTATATATTATTATTTTTAACCATAGATACATGTTATGCATCAGTAAAAACAGAAATACATTTTCTGAATGTAATCATCATTGAAAACAATCATACATTTAGTAGAAAATTAATATTTCAGAAAACTGATAGGAGAGACTGAATAATATGGCTCATTGGTGGTCAGCTTTGTTAGAAAAAGTGGTGGGGACAGTTTCTCCACTTTGAGTAACATTTTGAATGCAGGACTTTTACTTGTATCAGAGTATTCCTGGAGTCTTGAACCCTTAAATGTTTTGTGTTCCCGTTTCCACTCTGCAACACCTCTATGCTTTATACAAATATTTGATTGTTATTATTATTATTACTACCGCAATAACAAACCTTTATAGGCCATTTCAATCTAACCTAATTAACCCAGTTTTAAAATGTGTCACTAAACACAGTGATGACAAATATGTGCATATATTAGGTTTTATTCAGGTGCTTCAACAGCATTGTAGGCTATCCATGACACATACAAAAAACCATATTTATTGAAACAAAACAGGTATGATGTAAAGATAAAGAAACATAAATGCAGTCTCCAGTGGTTCAATGCCTACAAAACAGATCTTTTCACTACACATTTTAGCAATGTATTGCACATTTCAAAAATAGGTATACATTTGAATTAATAATCACAATAAATACATACCCTGTATGACTTTTATTATCTTATTTAGTCTTTCAACATTATACAGTTACAAAATAAGAGATGTACCTAGAAACAGAGCATAAAGGCTTTCAAATGATTTTTTAATAATGTGTTAAAAAAAAAAGTACATGTACATTACTAAAATGCATGATCAGGTACAAAATAATGACAATGACATGAGTTGTTTCATGAATGTCAAATTAAATTGTCAATACTGCAAAGATGTACATTTCTCCTCTGGGATGTTTTCAGACGAATGGAGTAAACATAATTGCAAAGCACAGCTGTCTGGAGTGACAACATGTTAAGTTATGTTCTAGTTAAGTATCTCAGTTCCTAAGTAAATAAGGAAGGGATTACATTTGGCACCGTGTCTATCGTATGAAGTGGACTATTTACAAACCGGTACTGAAGCTAATAGAATTATACACTGAGATTGTTACAGCTTAGTCACTGAATCCATTATTGCCGTTATTTATCTAAAAATACATTTCCATAAAATGATAAAGCAAAATAGTTTTGTCATACTTTGTAAACATCTTAACTTTCTGTCGTAATACCTCTACTATACAAAATGTGGATTTAAAGAAAAGCCCTGTGTAATATAGAGTCTCAGATTTGTCTATCTACCTAATTACATCAGATAACTCTCAATAAGTTAAACTCTTCCATTAGCTACATGGCCAGGTACTGTATTTATTACAATAAACAGCTTCAACAGCTAACACTGGAAAGTGTGTCTATATATCCAGTGCACAAATCCATCCTTACTCTTGCTGCTCTCACTTTCAAATGTCATGCCTAGACACCCCCAGAGTGGAATTTCAGAGGCCCTTTAGCACACAACAGAATCATTTATCATTATTATGTACAACGGGACTTCAGTATGACATTAACAACTTTCTGCTCCATACATTATCTAAAAAACAGACACTCATTCACACATTTACATACATGTACACACAGGAGACAAGCATTATAAGCACACACACACAGGCCCTGGGCCAGCAAGGACATCAGAGAGGATCCAACCTATAGGAAATGTTTGCAGCATTATTAGGACTTGCATCATATAAAAAATAAATCAACAGAGCCAAAGCATCTGAAGATTTTACAGTGAAATGCTCAATAAGCTACACTTTGCATGAGTTTCCAACCTCTTTATGTTTATGTGCTCACTCTCCATTTTGCCTCCTGTAACAAGCAACAACACAATCTTGGACGTGCAGCAGACGTTAATAAACACTGCCGAACTGTTGAGAAACTAAGAGTCCTCTATTGTGGAGAGAAAGTACAGCTCCAGAGCAGAGGAGTGAGAGGGTACCACCAGCAGCTCCTTTCCTCATTTTCCTCCTCTGTCATCTTATCTTCTCTTTTCCTGTCACGGCTGTTCGACAGCCTCCCCTTCCTCTCCATAGCGCTCACTCTTAGAAAATCCCTGGCATCTCAGGAGTTTTCCTCCTGAGTTCTGCGGAAACTTAGACGTTTGAAGGAATCCCTGTGAGATGGAGGGGATAAGTGGATGAGGGATGCAGGGAAAGGACAAAAACACAAGATAAGGATGATTATATGAGGAAGATGAGTAGAATTGGCCAGTAACAATAACACATGGCTTTCAAAAGTGTGAGATTTGTCGCAATGCTTCACCAAGTCCAAGATGTTAGACATGGGGATATAAGAGAGGATTCTGGGTAAGATGTTAAGGTTATGCCTGATCTTCCTATCGGAGGGTCATTCATCCCATCAGTAAACATGTTGAAATACTTGGGAAAGATACTTAGATACTGCTCCCGTAGGCATCTGCCTTACTGTAAGTACATGTACTGTACGTTACTTTGGATGGAAGCATCTTCTAAATAACATTTGATGTCATTTTGTATTATTATAACATGGCTGATAAATCAAGAGTCTATTTTATTGGCCGATAAGAATCTCTTGCAGATTCATCTGTGTATAATATGTGTTGATAAACTATATTTTATTTACAAATATCATCGCTCATTACAGTATATTCTACAAACAACAATAAACTGATTATTGGAGGCTCTATCTAAATTTGCGCGATAAGTATTCTTTGAGGTACATACTTATTCCTCAGCATGGAGATGCATTGCTATAAAATGTATCAAGATTACCATGATTGATCATAAAAGCACTTAGTGTGCGATCAGTCTTTGCTTACACATGGATGCCCAGTGGCCATGGCCTTGGTTCAACACTCAATCTGTTTACAGTGGCTCTGGTTTAGCCATCAATATTTGTAGATGTAGTGTGAATGGATCTCTGCTCAATTCCATATGGTTTTACTTTCCTTTGTGTTCAGCTATTTTAGAGTGATGACAAGATCAATGACATGTGTTCTTTTTTCTTACTGCCGTCTCTTGTCAAAACAGTATTGGCTGTTTGACCTGGAGGCTCTGTTTACCTGTTCTCCAGCCGAGGCCTGATGATGGGTTTATAGAGCTCAGGAATCTTCCTCTCCAGCATCGGCCTCAGATTCTCTCTCAGGCGGTTGTAGTTCTTTTTCAGCTCCTGCTGGTACTCTTTCTGGTCAAACGTGATCAGGTGCTTGTTCTTCTCAACGGCCTCACCACACCTACAGGACAAAGAACAAGGTGGAATCTGTTTTAAAATGCATTTTTCAGTTTCTACAGTGCATGAGAGAAAAAGGGAAAAAATAGCTTAACTTCAGGACCTTTTTAATGCAATAACCTCAAACTTAATAACAGCTTCAACAATGACGATATGTAAGACAATCTTGCCATAATCCCCTCTCTGTCCTCAAGCCTCTAGAAAAGCACTGCACTGTTTCATTTTAATAACATCCTGCAACTACTTGGAATAAATTAGACTCCTTTGGTTGCCAGAACTCTAAAATGTGAGTTAACAATGTACTTGTCTGTTACAGTGAGCAACTGAAATATCAGATATTTTCAAGTCCTTTGGCGAGAATGTGAGCTAAACTGTAAATGACCCATAAGGCTGTTTCAAAACACAGTAAAAATGGTCAGCAGAAGTAAATCTCCAAATCAAGAGGACAAATGTCTAAACAAATAAAAGTCCTTTTGTCAAACGGAAGCTCTGAGCTGAACTAAGAACAGTGGACAGATAGTGCATCCCCCCATAGTCCTCTATCATAACATGTGTAATTATTAGCAACACACAAAACAATCTGCAAGAATAATTGCAAACACATGTCTGAGTGTATTCCTTAGATTTTAAAGCACATAATATGAAAAATAAATCTTGTAACAATATATGGAAAATAAGCAGAGCAATGAGCATTAAGGATAGTTCCTCACATGTATGCTTGGTTTGCAATTTAAAAAACTAGTTCTCTGGACGTATCTTTAATATTCATATTTATGAATTGACTAAAAACCAGTGTTGTAAAAACATGCATGGCTATTTTACCATTACTTTACTCTTGTGATATACAGTATCTGTTGCTATATCATGCAGACCTACCCTGAACCTTACGTCTGTTAACAGTAATGATTAAGCCGGTAAAATGCAGTGTTCACAGTAATGAGTTGCCAAGCAGATGATGTGTTTGAGTGGGGGTTTGACTTCTTAGGGAGGCATACTATTTTTGAGGGAATATAACTAATTCATTCCAGGTAAAAAGATAAAAAAGGGTTTTCTTGACTGGATTTGATCAGAGCACAACTGTCAAGAAGATTGGCGGCATACGAATGGTGCAGTTCCAGCTTGCCTGGATTTAGGCTAGAAAAATAAACCCTTGTGAAATTACAGCAAATATTTGCCAACCTGCTTGTAGCAATCAAGGCAGCTGGAATGTGACATGAGGGCTAGAAAATGAAAAACACCTCTTGGAGGCAAACGCCAAACGCCCAGGAGATGAAAGCACACACATACAAACACACACACGTCTGCGCAAAAGACCCCAGTCTCCTGCACAAAATCAGCATATCATCAGACACATTGCTGTGACTATAGGGTGGTTTTAATATGTTGTGAATATTAAAAATATAATGAAACTCTTAGGAACAATAAACCTTTGCAACTCAAGAAGAAAAAGTGCTCAGTGTTGTGAGGAAAAATATCTTCCATTCAAATGAAAATAATCTCCTGTCGCTATGAGTTTCATTATTTCACACCCTCTTACTGGACCTG